CAACATGAAGTCCAACAAACACATAAGAATGAGATTGAAAGCTGTCAGAAAATTGAGGAACTCCGGAGTGATAGCGTTGGATTATATTCAAACGGCTAAGAATCTGGCAGATCCCTTTACTAAAGGGCTATCACGTGTTGTGATAGATAGTGCATCAAGGGAGATGGGTATGAGACCCACATGAGTTGCCATGGTAGTAACCCAACCTATGTGATCGGAGATCCCGTGAAGTAGGACCTGGGAAAACAAGCCATCGGTGAACTGAGGGGAGTAACTTTACTAACCCACTCTGTTGGAGACGCAATACTCTCGGAAATTGTATGGAAGGATGACTATTGTCTTAATGTGTTCCAAGGCTTATATGTATAAGCAAGATGCTATCCTACAGAGCGATCTTTGGAGGAACACACCTATATGAGCCCGACTGCTGGTCACAGTCTATGAGATTGGGGTGATCTCTAGCAAGCTCATGAACAGGCCAGGAGTGTGACTAATATGCTCCACCCGAGGGGTCGCCCTTCGGCAGCCTCGTATTAGTGAGACTTGTGGTGAAACTTCTTGACGCCAAACTGACAATTCAAGGCATAGTCCATTGTTCAGTTCTGAAGGAGTGTAGCTACTTGGTCTAGATGGAGCTCAACCTTAATCGGTCTCCACTGAGATGCTGGTATATTAAAACGGCGTTTGGAACAAAGGACAAAGTGGGCCCCTGAGATCTGGTGGGGGATTGTTGAAATATGAGATGGACCTAGAGCCCATATGACAATTTCAGATTTAATCTCTAAGGGCCCATGTAGGTGGCATAACAAGGTGGTGGAAAGTTTAGTCCCACCCCGGAAGTAGAAGGAGAGTTGGAGTGGTTTATAAGGGATTCTCTCCCTCGTGCTATTGGAGTTTGAGAAGAGATGAGGCCCTCGCACACTCCTCCTCCTCCGCTCGCCTCGCCACGCCTCGTCACGACGCGACGCGGCGCGCCGCGGGTTGAGCCAAGCCGAGCTCACTCCTATGTGCTTCTTTTTGCCGGTCAGGAACGGAGAGTCTTTGACAGGTAGGGCCACGATCTGAGACGTTGGATCATGGGCTACCGACTTGGACGTGGGTTCAGCCCACGTCTCTCCACGCGCGGTCGCACATATATATGTGGGGCACTGCCAACCCTAGCCGCCGCGAAAAACAGAACGCATCTCCATCTCCGCTTCCACGCCCACGTTGTTCCTCTGCTGCTGCTGCCGTCGGCGACTCCATCCCGTTCACCGCGTACACGGTTGATGGGAGAGCAGGCCTCCGAAACCCCGCCTCTCCGGATCCTGTACGGGAGAGGGGCGATTAGGTTTTTGGGTAGCGACTACGCGACTGCTCGCTTCTGTTCATCTACGTCCGCACCACCTTCGTCATCACCATGTCAACCGACGCCGACCGTGCCGCCGCTGAGAAGGCTGAGGCCGACAAGAAGGCCGCCGAGGATGCCGCGGCTGCTGTCACCGCAACCGCCACCGCGTGGCCAATTGGAGTGTATACATCGCTTATCCCTCTTGTGTTTTCTTTCTGTTGTAGCAGTACTAGCGATATGTGTAGATGTTTCTACTATGTGCGTAGTACATGCTCTGTTAGATCGTAATCAATGTGTTATCAATGTTGTCCATGTTATGCTCATGATTTATTCATGGATTAATTTAATCGAAAAACTGCCTATTTACTTATCAATTCGAACAGCTATACAGGGGCTTAAGGTTATACTACCAGCATGGTGCCAGGTATTTCTCCATGCTGCTTATATATCTTACACATACTTACTTGTTCAGAATGCATTCTAACGTTTTTCATGTTCTAGAAGTCACAAACATCAAAATTTCATGAAAATTGTCTTTGTGATGAGCCCAAGAACTGGAGGAGCCAAAGTATCTCCTTGACTCTTCTTGAAGAAGTAGAAATCAACAACTTCAGAGAAGACACTGAGATTGACTCCATCACAAATACTCCTATATTCAGATGGGCGCCGGTGCTTAAAAGAATGACCATCAAGCTGGTGTATGGCATTCAACAAAGTGGCATTGAAGATTGTGTCACGAAAATCAGCAATATATGTTTGGTGTATCCTTCGGTTGATTGCTTTATTTATAACACTTATGGTGAACTGGTTTGGCGTACGTCCTAGATGCAAGGTGGCCGTTCCAGAGTGGTTGCCTTGCGATCAGCCCCTGGAACGAGTGTTGACCTGCCAACCTGCAGCAAATTCACAAGAGTTACAGGTGTAACATTTTCCCTGGACGTGGAAGCACGTCTAGTTTGGAATTATGCGTGACGCGATCTTACAATCACGGTGTAGAAGCCCGCAGCCTTTCCTGAAGCGATGTTCCGGATGCTATCATTGAAGAAGATCTGATTATTTTGAAATAAAAACTATCAGGTTGTTATTGTTGTTAGGGGGTGGTCTTGGCCATGTACTAATAGGGGTTGTTTCATACCGTCTTGTTGGGATTGACATTTGCAATCCGAATTGCGGCTTCCATGGATTCAATGGTGGGTTTGCACAGGATGGGTGATTTAGGTCTGCCATCCGATCCGTAGAGATCATCCACGTCGGAAGACGGTTCACCAGAGAGCGCCATAGGATCCTCCGGCATGGCTGGTGGTGGGTTCAGTGTCTCAAAGCATATCACGCCCTCAAAGCAATCCTGCAAACCCAACCTGCGCAGAACCTCCTCCGCGTGAACCTTATCCGAATTTGTAAATATCTACAACAAGCAAGTTTTTCCAAATTAATTGCTAATGCAAGGTGTTATGTTTTAAATTACAAGAGCAAATAAACTGTGGTAAATTCGCTTACTATTTTTCTCCGCGGAATGGAAAGTAGAAGGGTCCTCAAAACAGGGTCAGGCCTCAGATTATCATATAGCAGTCTACCATGAACATTTGCATGAAATTCATCGTTGTCAAACTCGTAACCTAGTGCCTGCAGAGAATTAACAGACGTATGATTAGGAGGAAAACATAAGCTCTTCCGTGGAAAACAATAAATGAATACAAATTGTACCTTAAGACCAGCCATTGTGCTGCCATATTCCCTGTAAAGTTTCAGGCACATCTCTGCAATCTGGCTTTCTTCAATTTGCAGATGGTCACGCATGTAATCTGGTAGCCAAAATTTCAAAGTTAATCTCTCCAATCATTTATAAAAACATAACGATTCATAAAGTAGGAAGATACTGAAAAAATGACTTATTATTCACACCTTGAATATTTTTGCGGCAAGCAAGATTGATGCCAGCACTAAGAGGATACAGTGTATCATCCAAATCTGCAGTCGCAAATAGTGAACAGCTTTTACTGGAGTGTACAAAACAATAAGAACAAATAATTTAAACAAACAACTCTTCAGATTTATAAAAGCACGGTACATACCAAATAGCAAGCACTCATACTTAGGAGTGGGAACTTCAACAATAGCAGCCATCTTCTACAGTCAAAAGCAGAGGCAGTTGCTAAATGAAATAACACAATCAGATAGCAACCTGAAAGAACAATAAGCAGTTCATGAGAAAGCAATAACATATTCCCCAGAAGATTAACTAAAATAAATTATGTAGTGTGCCAGGTATAAAACAAGCACGGCAGACATTCTCTTTGCTCTAAAATCAGACAACTCAGCAAAAATATTTTAATGGCTGAACTTTGGTACTAACATCTGACATAGACATTGTAATGTACATCTCACTATATTATTCACACCCAGTGGAAGGTATATTCTGAATTTCTGATATTACCTAAGTGTTAATACATCTACCATGACACCTCAATCCAGCATGATTAGCCTGAACATATACTGGCTCCAGCGAACATATGAATAAAGAAAATAAAAACACTTGCAGAAAGCCAAAAGAGTCGGTTACCTTGCGACAATAAACAATGGAAGGCTTTCAATGAGGCAATGAATGGTGTTGAACCTGGTAGATTTGGTGCTATATTTATAGCAGCAGGCCAAGTTGGTAACATACAGAACAGAACAGATGCTCAGATGCTTTGGTAGACTGATGGCATGAAATCCAGCATTCAGAATGATCCGCAGCCAATTTGATGTCTGTCTCCAACTTTCCATCAGGTCAAGGATGCCACTTTCCTACAGAAGAAAACAGGTTAGTGTTCAAATCTCAAGGCTCTCATGTGCCCACAAGCCAGAACCTCCCGGTTCCTACAAAAGTGGCATGAGAATATTTAGCACGAGTTGGAAGAACCAGAGAATATTACAGCATCTGTATCAAATACCCTGGATTTTTGCATACATGAGGAATATACCCACTTGGCGGTGATTGGTACCCTTCCAAGTGTAGTTGTTTCCCAGCCGCCTATGTTGAAGTCATACAGAATGGGACAGAACAAGAATATAAGATATGGCAAATCAGACATCTCCAAGGCTCCAACTTAATACATATTTGAGCATATCATGTGGCATAACCAAATGGCACGGATGTCATCAGGATTTCCAAGGCTCCACTTGTTAAGAATCCAATAATAACCCAAATGGCACAGCCAACATCAAAGATACGTTCCAGTTTTGCGGTTCAAATGATACTTCTCAGATTTTCTGAATATCATGACCATGGAAGGCTACTGTACAACCTCTGCTCCATGAAAAGATCGTGCAGAATCTGAAAACCTATATGATCAACATAGCACGCATTTTAACAAAACATATACTCCAGTTCAGGATAATGCAAGGGGTATATGTATATTTTTTTCAGCGAAAACACCGGCTCGCTGACAATTTTCCATATTATAGCCAAAAGGCGACCAAATACTTGCTGGCCACCATGCGACACTCTAGCAGGAAGCAGCGTTAGAAGTGAATAAGTTGAAGCATTGAAGCTAATTTTCTAGATTACAAGACAAGCCTAAATTACAACCATAGCATTCACTTGACATATTCCAAGTGGCCATCTATTCTTCCTGTAGCTTGGCCACAGCTTCACTAGGTAATCTTGAGAACCAAAGCAACTCCAGATTTAGATGAAAGAAAAGGTGGGAGGCTTCACATGAACTCCTGATTGCCTTCCCAGCACCAATGGCTTTGAACTAGAACTACCATATCTGAAACCAGAGCTTGAGCTACTGCATACTTGTATAGCAGTCCTGCTCCTCAGACCTTGTCCTGAAGCACCTAAAACGCACTTGGATTCCTGTTATCCAGTAAAATACGAGCGGATAAGATAAGGATCAGCATTACAGTGCTTCTTGGTTTTCAGAATTGTACACGACTGGATATCAATATATTCCTATCCAACCACATAAAATTCAAAACATGCCCAGAAAAATCAGAAAGAAAATTAGGTAATAACCCAACACTCAGCTACTCCACGCCAGAAGAAATGACGAATACTTGAAGAAAACAAATATCTGAAGAGACAATCTACCAACTGAGAACTTGTGTCCATCAAAGTTGCATAAATAATCTGCGAGGTGTCATGGAGTTGGCTGCATGCCTCTGTGTGGGTAAGCCAGGCAGTGCACAGCAGGTTAACCACATGGGATCGTGGATAAGAACACCGCATGTGTGAGCGGAGCCCAATTCACGGATAGATACATTTTGTCTGCACTATTGTTACTTTGTGCGGCATTTAATTGTTAGCCTTCAATTGTTCAAACAAAAACAAAAATTGCGGGATCAATTGTTCAATTCTAAAGTGTCTTAGCAGATATACATGAGTCTGAATTGGCTATTATTGTTTGGGACACTAGATAAAAGAGGCTCAACACTTATTACGGTTTCGGTTTCAAAAGGACATCTTATTACCAAAGCAAGAAGAATTTAGCTTCTCCCATCGGAACTTTTCACCCTCAGTTAATGGTACATTTCTCTGTATTATAGTATCCCATCTTCATGGGCTTGCTCACCCTGAGCGGTATTTGCCCCATTCATGAACACCTATTTCACTGTGCCGCGAGTCCATCTACAGAGAGGGCTCACTTGAATGCAAATAATAATGGGCCGCAAGGAAGGAAACAAAAAGGGATGAAGCAGTTGCTCAAACTAATTTGCCGACATGTTTTCATAAAACCATTCATAATGGACACATCCAGTGGTAACTTCCACGGACTGTAGATACTAAAGCAGTATGTAATATTGTATATGAGAGAGAGAGAGAGAGAAGAGAGATTTATGATGCATTATTTTTTCTGTAAAAAATGTGAAACTACCCTACTAAGAAGGAAGGGAAGTCAATTTGAACCATGTGAGACAAATAATAAGTCTAGGGGACTAGCACCATACCTTCTCTGTAGATCCTGATAGGTTAGCTACTGGTGTCAAAAGCTTCGCTCTGATACAATAAAATAATTATCTTATAGGTGCATCAATCTTTATGAGTTTATCCATGAGATACAAGGCAGATTACACTTACCGCCCTGCTGGGGAATATTTATCGCTAGCAGCCTTTATCTTTTCTACTGCCTAATGAATAAACATACAAACATTGTGTCAACAAATCAACAATTTTATAATTCAAATTACAAGAGATTAAATAAGAGTGCTCAGATGAAATAAAGATGCATTCATGCCTTTTCCACTCGATCAGAACTGAAACTGTTTTCAAATGCCAGAAAATTCACAAGGCCCTGGAAACAGAAAGCAACTATCAGCTTGTGGAAAAATATGGACCGTATGATATGAGTTATCAAGCATAACCTCTTTGTCTGCTGAGGTCCACTGGAAATCTGGAATTTCTGTACAAACATTAGGTTGCTTAAACAAGGTCCGAACTTCCTGGTAAGGCCAATCTTCTGGAACAGTGTACCTATGGATCATATGAGTGTGTTAAGTAAAACCTAACATTTCTAGATTACTTGGGAGTACCTTGTCAAAACTAGACATAGTTGTCTACTGCAAAGCCCGAGAAATTCAAAGTTCTGGTCAAAATTTAAATTTCATTGCCTCGACAAAACTGAGAATTAACTACCACCTTGACATCAAGAGTAATAAACAATTGCCCACCGAAATGTTATGTTATACAAAAAACTACAGTGCATTCATCACAAACTAGTCATCAAAAGTCAAGACATGCCAGATACCGGACAAATCAGCCCCATTGACGCCATGAATCTGGGGTTGGATGCAAACAGCACAAGGCAGGGTCAGAGAGAACGGCAGCACAGGAGCAATACGGTGGCATGACATATGCAGGAACACCACAGTGGCATAGCACCAGAACATAGCTCATGAAGCACCACGAAATGGCAACAGGAGTAGTTCGAGAGTGCAGGATGGTGACAGAAGCTGTTTAGGATGTATGTTGATGGACACAGTGGCCACATGGTTACATTGAAAGGCTTTATCAGTGTTTTAGCATGCTCAGATGAAAAAACAACATTGGAACATCATTATTATCATTCAAAATGTGTGCCTAGTGTTCAATTACATAGTTTTCTCAATGAGGAGTTTGATTGCACAGTTAAATAGATGGACTGCAAAAAGAGTGTCTTAATATTTTGCTGCCAACATAAAACACTAGCAAGGATAAGCATACCTCTTGTGAAGATTTTGCACAACTTCTTCTATGCAACCATGCTGACGTATGAGTTTCAAGGCTCTTTGTCCCCCAATACCTATTCAAACCAAGACCAAAGTCCGACAAACATTAAAATGGTTGTGGGTTTTGGACCCATTTTGTTAATGTATAATGAAGATTTGTCAAGATTCAAAAATGGAAACAACATAAACAGCACCCAATTTCGCTGCAATATAAGCAAAACCAAAATTCAACTGACACTAATTCACTTTTTAGTTGACAGGAGCATGCATTTTAAATCATATATGGTGAACGCAAACAATATACTCCCTCCGTCCCAAAATAAGTGTTGTTGATTTAGTACAACTTTAGTACAAAGTTGTACTAAATCAACGACAGTTATTTTGGGACAGAGGGAGTATTATGAATCAACTATTTAAGTATATTGTGTATATTGAGTATATTGTGTCCATGCATGACATGAGCAACTAATAAAGAGAAACAGCTTTAATATTTTCAGAGCCGTGCAACTATTTAAGCAAATCATGAAGAGCTACATCATACTGTGGACTCAATCTAATATCAGAAGTGTGTAAGGAAACATATGATGCAGGTAAACCTTTAATATTCTCGCAGTAGTCACATCCACTAAGAATACATAAGTCGATGAACTGACCCATTGTTAGTCCAAGTTCCTCCAAAACCTGTCAAATAGTGAAGAGTAGCCATGATATTCAGATGAAAAAAAAACATTAGATAAAAACTAGAAGAATTTACCTTTGGCACTTCAAACTCTGTTACAGGAGATTTCTTAAAACTAAGGTCAGTTACATGGCGAAGAAACCTTGGAGCACCGAAAGTCAGTGTGTCCATATCCTCTGAAGCGACAGCATGTGCCTGGCACTCCCAATGAAATACAGTTAAGTCATGCTACTTGGGTAATAAAGATACAGAGTTGTTCCAAAATCGTTTGTCTGATGCACCTTATGGTTCTTACAAAGTGATGCGCACTGTGCTTCTGCCTCACCTGGTGCCTGCATAATTATTCAGACAAAGTGATTAGGTATATACATAAAACAGTAAAGCTCATGAAAGCCAGCTAATATGCTTGCATCTTAGTACGGCATGCTGTTCATTTAGAAGAATTTCACTCGATGAGAAGCAGAGCCCAATCCAGTTTGTTTTCCTTTCGTGATATTTCCTAAATCACGGGGAACATCTGCTGATTGCCAAGGTATCACTACTCATGTGGTATGCATCCAATGTCCCATTTTTTCATGTGATAAGGTCAAGCCTTTCTTTTACGCCTAAGCTGACCTGAATAGACAAGGTTGCAAGCTGAACATGCCTGAACAGTTTCTAGGCTTAAAACTTAGAATCCTACACTTGACTGAGAAAACATTATCAGCCTACACTTAAGAGAACTTAGATTTGAGGCAGATTTAAGGCCTCCCAAGCAAGGTGATTCTTTTTTCTGAAGTGAAAACCTGGTGATTACTTCTTTATATGCAAAAGATTCTGAATGTTCCATTAAATCTCCTCAGCATTGAAAAAGCACATCAATGAGGAAACTAACTCATCTGCGACTACAACAAAAATATTTGAAGCAACCAATGGATTAAAGCATTAATGATACCTCAACTATAGGGACACCCATCAATCTTAACAGCCTCTTACAGCCATCGTTGTGTTCTTTTGTGATCTGGAAAGAGAAGGAACAAAAAACCTTAGCATGTGCTTGGAAGTTGGAACCACTTCAGAACATGGTAGACAATGATACTGAGTTTGCAGACAAAGCTCAAACTGGCAGAATGAATGTTAGGGTACTTTATCCGAATTAAATCTACACATATACACACGAAATTATTGCCTCCTTCAGTCCTTCCCCAAATTGTAGGACAATTACCTTCACAGTCCTTTTGCTAAATTTTTCAACTGAATCTTCATCTCCAACCTGCAATGCAATTGCCACCTCAGAGGTCCAGCAACACAACAAATACAGAAGCATGACGAGTAAGGAGGAGGGCAAGGAGCAAGTCACCTCAATAGCACTATGAAGATCTTTCGAAGCATCATCCCTCTTCAAAGACCTAATAAGCAGTGAACATATGTCAAAGCATGTGTTGAGACAAGACAATGAGAGTAAAGAATGGAAGCAATGGAATGGTTCAGTGTATACCTTTTAGCCAGTTCCTTTTTCTTCAGGTCAGGTGGCTCACCATCAAACACAAACCTGGCATAAACGTTCAGCAGTTAACCCTGTCGGTGTCAATTACAGTAAGCAAGAAATCAACAGCGACCAACCGGCCACAGAAATGGATCAAACTTACACAGGTTTTATTCCTGCTTCAAGCAATCTTACAGTCCGGTTCAACATGCCTTGCAGATGACTGCAGTTTAGAAATAAAAAACCATATGAGCTAATAAACATCATGACTTGCCCCGCAAAGAAAAAATAATAAACATCATGACTTCAACAACATTTCAGATAAACAAATGGATGGGCAAACAATTTTCACTGGCCTTGTGACTTCACCGGCCTCATTGGTAAGAACTTCTGTTCCTTTCCTTCCCACCACAACCTAGAGAAATGGGAAGCAGTATTATACGGCAGATAAGGCAAGCAGATGGCCTAACCACATGGTTTGGCAAATGCTCCTACAATACAATAAACAAAGGAGTAGCACAAATGGAATTGTTTACCAGCGAATTCTGTAAGTTTTACTAATAAGAAACCCCTTTTGTCAGCATAAGGAGAGCTAAAACTAACAGTATTATAAGCATCCCATTTTGCCAACTGACATATGGAAAGCTTGCACATGGTAATTTACTGTATCTGTTAATTTACACTCTCAACATTGCAGTTTTGCTGCTAGCGACTGGCAACCACCTGCCTCCTACACAAAATAGACCAGATGAAAATTGTGTTGGCATATGCTCAAGCTTTTGGCAGGCGTCATGGCACGCACAATGCTCCCATGTGAACCAACCAGCCCAAGCGCAATCAATCGCCCAACGGCAGCAAGCATGAAGCAGAACCATTCCCCGGAGTGGAAGAATGGCATCTCCGAACTAATCCGGTTGCAGCACAACTCGCACCACCCGAATCCAAGCGGAACGGAATACAACATGCGGGAGGGGGGCGGCGGACGACGGCGACTCACCAGGAACTGGTAGATGCTGAGGCTGGCGTCGATGGCGATGACGCGGCCCCGGTAGTCCTCCACGCGCCGCTGCACCGCGGCCCTCGGCGCGTGCTCCGCCAGCAGCTTCGTCAAACCCTAGCGCGCGAGGCGCAGAGACGGAGAGAGAGTGAGGGAGGGAGAGGCCGTCACATCGAGAACCCACAATCGAGCGAAAACGGGAGCGGCGAGCCAGAAACCCACTGGAGGAGAGTACCTTGATTCCCATTGCTTCGGCGGCGGCCGGCGGCGAGCAACCTCCGACCGTCTCCGCTCCCGCCGCTGCTTGTCCAAGACCCTCTTCCCGCCGCCGGTGAAGTGGATAATAGACTTTTTGGGCCTCTCTCTTTTTTTTCAGGAGGAAGACGACGGCTAGAACCATTCGCATGTCACTCTAAATAGGCCTGGAAGATTTTAGCTCTTGTTCGTCGGCCCGGCCCATGTAAAACCTACAATCAAAAGAGTTGATATGATGCCCTTTGGATGTCTTTTACCAGTTCCCCAGTCAGGGAGCACATGGGAACATTATCAGGGAGATTAATAGTAGGTCTCAATTATTTAATTGTATGTCTTCCTTTGAAGGCCGAGCTGCTAATAGCGACGCCGATAGGTAAGCCAAGTTTTCACATTCTCTTGATCAGGGGTGACATGCCTGGTTGGTCCAACCACATGATCCATTTTGTATCCCACATCATGTGCATTTTGAGCAATAAAACTTTTATACCCCTAAAAAAGTTTCCTGCAATAAAGGAGTTCCTTTATATGCTGAAATAATGATAAAGATCAGATAACTTAAACGTAGTAATGTGACTTACATTCCATCCACAATGAATGTTTTTTAGCATTTCACAAGTGACCGTCTATCTATCAATGAAAACTTTCTAACAATCAAAGTATTGTATTCTAATTACTAGGTTTATCAGAAAATATTATTTGCAGGAGAGAGGCGTATTAGAGCCCAAGCTCTGGTGGGCACTTTTTTTAAGAAAACAAAAAATAAAAATTCGTATTTGGAAGTATCAAATAATTCTTACAAAATAAAATCTCATTGCGACATACTACCATGTGAGCTGTAAAAAAAGACACATTTATGAATTTTCAAGCAAACAATGTGCATATTGTTTGCTGTTTTCAAATCCATGTAATTTTTTTATGCACACATGTCTACAAATGTGTAGCATATGATAGTTTGTAGGTACATAGATCATATTTAAATGTACATGTCAAAAAAGTCACAAAAATTAACACTTCAAATATATATATTAAGAAAAACAATAAAATGGGCTTATTGGAGCCCAACATCCAAAAGCAATTTTCAGTATTATAGCGTAAAATTGTTTGTGTATGAGGAAATACGTTTGCACATTAATCATGTTTAAGGTGCCGCCATAAAACATACACTTGATTAGTTTCATGAAAAAAGGTCTATTGTAGAATTCTTTTTTTTTGCAGGATAGTCTATTGTAGAATTCTAAATACAAAGGATTTGACACATGATTGCAACGTCCTGCTCATTTGAATCCTATGAGATTTTGATGTGTTTAATTGCATAATGGAAGACGAAGGATATTTTACAAGGGATTTGGGTGGATCCAAATTTTTGACGAAGCGCGATGTAAAAGAACCCTTAAAAACCTTACAGTGTTGAATCATGTGAATCGAACACGGGATGTAGGAAAAATCCCTTAGATTTTAATCTTCCTAATTTCTTATGAAGATCTTTTGAAACAATGAGGCACCTAAGTAGCAACCTAATTGCATCGGTTGATATCCCATTAGCACACACTAGCTAACTGTCAAATGGTTCAACATCAATTGTGTCTGACATATACCTTACACCCACCGTATTCTAGATTTTCATAAGTTTTGATTTGAGTATGGATAGGGGAAGGCAAGGGACATTTGATTTAGTTGAGGTTTTGGTAAGATGTGATTTCGGTATGGGTAGGGGAACACAAGGAAAGTTTTGATTTAGTTGAGGTTTTCGTATGATTTGATTTGATTGAGCTAATGTGGAACGTGGGGAGGGGTGACGTACAGGAGGGGGAACCAAACAGGGGAGGGACAGGGGTGAAGGCGAACGTACAACGACCAACTCTCGTTCCCCTTTAATAGTAGAGATAAAAAAAAAGGTGAAGACAAAAAATCAATATTGGATATGGATCAGTGACATGTCTCTTTTTCTAGATTGACCTACGAGATACAAACAAACATAATACACTAGATTAGGAGCTTACACATCTCAACCATTGGCGGGAATTTAAGAACGGTTTCTTCTCCATCTTAATCAAACAACAATTGAAATATCAAACTTGATTTTGTATTTGTTTAAAATCATATTAAGCATGAGGTGGAGCACCCAAAGATTTCAGTGGATGCTCTGTAATCCTTAATATAATTTTTAATGACACTTCACGACGGCCCCTCTCCTGCTCCGAGACCGATTGTGGGCGGCAAGGGATATGAGCTATTGAACATGGCGATGATCTTTTTATAGCCATGGGCGGAGGGGGAAATGAGCGGGAAATGTGACAAAAATGGCCATGGGCAGTTGACATGCAACGGCTGCCATTAATTGGCACACAGGAAACGATGGGCCGCGCGGGATCACATTCCGCGTGAGCGGTCGATGGATGGAGCGCCCTCCAAACCAATGCCCCATGGCATCTAAATATGGAGGCTCGTGTGCTGGATTTGGAGCATCTAAATATGATCCGAAACCATATGAAGACCTTATTTGTTTGAGTTTTTGTTTCTACTTTTGCAGCTTTTTCATTTTAACAAAAAGGCCACAATTCTGTTCTGTGCTCCGGTTATCTCGCGGGTCAGATTGCTTGCTACTCTGTTCTGTGCTCTGCTTAGCTCAATACTAAGGAGGCGGGATTTAATCGCCAGTACCAAAACAGCCCTCGGGCACTTGTTTAGCTCCAGCTCCTCCGTCTGTTAAATCTGGGGATTCCGGCGGTTCAGCACAACCGCAGAGCAGGCCATACAAGAGAGGGACAGCATCTTTTGTCTGCTGTCGTCCTGCACCATCTTTCCGAGTTCATGAGGATCTTGTTTGTTTATGTGTGCTAATTTCTCTCTACATTCCATAAGTTGCTCCACCTACCTAGGTGATTTACTTTATTTTTATTATTTATTATCATTCTACCTTTTGATTGACTAAATAAGTCCCGGCTTATCTCTGTCAGTCTCTGCAATTGGAGAAACACTGTTGAAGAGAAGACTGACTTGTTTATGCTTTTGCTTCTTTGAACAGCCGCGCAAGATAGGGAGCACAAGTTCTTATCGATAGCGGTAGAAGAGGCCTACCGAGCGGTCGACCGTGGCCATGGGCGCCCATTTGGCGCGGTCGTGGTCCGCAACGACCAAGTAGTGGTCAGTTGCCATAACATGGTTGTGAAGAACACCGATGCAACCGCCCATGCCGAAGTTACTGCAATAAGAGAGGTGATTGAGGTGCCCTGTGGGCAGAGGCTATCCTCACCAACTACTTGGTGCTTGCTGTTTATACATTTTTGGTTACTTAGTGTGTTTCTATACTTCATTTCCAATCAATGTTTGGCCGTTTGTGTTGAATAACCGGTGTTTCGCGTTCACTCTAGGCTTGCAAGAAGCTCGGGAAGATCGACTTGTCGGATTGCGAAATGTATGCATCCTGCGAACCTTGCCCGATGTGTTTCGGCGCTGTTCGTCTATCCCGGATCAAGGTTCGCCCCTTGCTCTAGCATTCTTCGTCTGGTAGAGTATAGCTTAATTTGTTAATCGACAATCAATCAATCAAGCTGAATGTTACAATGCAATGCAGAGGCTGGTGTATGGAGCCACGGCAGAAGCTGCTATTGCCATGGGAAGCTGCTACCAGAGCGCCAACTTGGAGATAAAGCGAGTGGATGGGAATGGAGCCCTGCTTGCTGAACAACTCTTTGAGAACACCAAGGGGAAATTTCAAATGTACTAATTGTGTAGATAAAGACGACATTGATGTGATTTCACACCACGGAAGCCCTTGATGCTCAGAAAAAAATAATGCAATTGTCAAAAAAAATCTGTCATTGGTGATGAACTACAAACTGTCAAATAGCATTTATAACATGTGATTCTGATTTGATCTTGCTTAATTCTGAGATACTAATTGAGGATACTAACATGAACATGTACAAAAAAATATCAGAACTACAACTAGTCTGTTTCGCATGAAAATTGTCAAACACGCTTTGGGAGTGCGGATTTTTTATACCCCCATACCAGTGTATAGAAATTTTTCTTTTTTGTTTGTTGCTTCCAAACAAGAGAACATTTGACCTTGAAACTTTGCGGATCAACTATACACAAGTGTTACTCATTGTACAAGGTGTTTCTGATTCTTTTTATGAAACATAAATTTGTCAAATTTCAAATTTTGAATGAATTATATCATTCTTAAAAATTCATGTTGTGCAAAAAAAATCCAAAAACTTTTCTGCACATAACAATAATTGTGTGATGTTGATCTGCGAAATTTCGAGTTCTAATGTTCTTTTATTTGGGAGAAACAAAAAAGAAAAGTTTTTTTGCACGAACTTTGATGCAAGAATGGACAATGGGGATAAAGATACATTGTTATGGGGGTACACCACAACTTTCCCTTCGATACAAAGATGAACGTGTAAAAGAAATCATTTTTTTAATTGTTTGATATTGTTTTGAATTTACTGTTCACCCAAGAGGATATGCTCATGAGAGCTAAAACGTCCAACCAGGTGAGGGAGTCGGACAGCGATGGGCCGGGCGCCTGCGGTTCCCAAAGAGGGATGGGATAGGCCGGCAGCGACGGACCATATACCCTCGTCCCTGTGGTGACTGAGGGTGACCTGCTCACGTTGATGGCAGAAGAGCTGCTCCGCGGTGTCAAGCTCGTGCGTCATGAAGGCCTCCTCAGCATGAAGAGCGAAGTTTGCTGGCCGACAACAACGAGCGAGAGCCCCTCGTGGTTCCTAAGCCTGCGCTGCTAGTGCTGATGGTGGATGAGCTTCTCCGTCATGTCGAGTGTGCTTGCCGTGAAGGCCTTCCCCACGACGAGCGGCGTTGGCACCGCCTATCAGGTTCCAACTTTGTCGGGGACAAACATGCGAGAGAGAGGCGGTGGTCAAAAGTGAGAGTGATTTTCTGTAGGCCAAGCTCCATGGCACCCCTTATCCTCACCCTTCCCACACACCTTTGAGATTTATGCCAGCCAATTAACTTACTACATGAAAGTTTCTCTTTTTCTCTCTCAAATGAAACAACATATGGATGTCAAACTTTGTAGGTCAAACAAACTTTAGAATCTCAATGGTGAAAAAACTTTTAGATTTCTTGGTCCGAGAAACTTAAATATACAAAAATGAGATTATTTTTTAGTAAAAAAAGCCATTTTAAGTATTTAAGATGCATGAAAAAAACTGATTTTTTCCATACTGTAATTAGAATGTTTTGTTGCCCTGCAAAGTTTAAAGTTTATATGTTCGTTTGTTAAGAGAAACAAAAAAGACAAAAATAACTACACATATCCCCATGCAAAAAAAAGGCTAGATAAGGGATACCATGGAGTTCGACCTCCACCACAACTTTCTAGAGGTGGAAATGGGGAGCAACAATGATAAGAGGATCCTTCAGATCTACACTACTCTTCATTAGCGGCGGTTACTGTTCTGCTGTGCTAGTCCTTTGGGCCTTAGCACAACAACTTCTCGATTGTCTACTACAAGTTTTGCCCGGCTCCGGCGAGGGAGTGACGATGACAACGGCGTGTCTTCGGCTCGCTTCAGTGGTTGTAGTCGTCGCTAGGTGGTCTACGGATCTGGATGTGATTTTTATTATTTCTGGTCTTCGTTGTGCTGTCATGATTCATGATTAAAGATGAATCGATCGAAACTTTTATTGAAAAAGAAAGACAAGAAGATAATAAGCTCGCTCGTGATGACTGACTCAGGAGCGAACGGCCGCGCTTGGGGTGTTTGCGTGGTTGTCCTCGCGTTGAGATTCGCTCACGTATTGGACGGACGATGTTGGGTTGCGCCAAGAACGAATCTAGCAAACGTTCGTTCAATAGACCTTCCGAAATTAACCGATCCCTTGGCGCACGGTTCGGCTGAGATCAAGTCCGAGTCAGCTCCCTAGTTGTTCCGATGTCCTATCGACGTACACGTGTGCGTATATATACACACATCCATGTAGCCCATCGATCGAGTTGTAATAACACCGGAAAAACAAAATCCAACAAATTCGTTGCACCATCCATGTAGGTCATCTTCTTCCGTAAAGAAAACCTATCCTCCGCCGTAGATCCACTACTACCCTAGCAGCCATGCCGGGTACTGCTTCCAGCTTGCCGCCCGGCTGCCTGCTGCACCGCCGCGTGCGCACAGACTTCGATGACAACGACCAGACAGACCTGATCGCCCTGCAGCCGTTCAAGATTCTGAGGTGCGTCAAGAAGGCGGCGTCCGGGTTCTCGCCCCAGCTGCAGTCCCACGCCGACGAGACGGTCCGGCGCATGGACATCGGGGTGCACCTCGCCGACGCGCCGCCGGGGATCTCTTGCCTGGGCCTGCGAGGCGGCAGCCCGCTGACCAACATCGAAGCCGTCGACAAAGGCATCGTCGTCATGACGACGACCTTCCTCCACGACTTCGGCCACATGCTCTATCTCGTCTACGACGCCGTCGATGGGTCGCTCCACATGGTCCCCGCGCCGGAAAGCCCCTGCTGGAGGTTCACATGCCTCACCGTTCGCATGCTCATCGCGCGGCCGCGCCATGGCGAGGACTTTGCCCTAGTCCTCGCAGGCAAGTTGGCGGACGACGGCGCCGGTGGTGGAGAGGAGCAAGATGCTCTCCTGCTGTGGCGGCCCGCCTCCTCGTCCTTGTCGCCATGGTCCGAGGTCAAGAAGGCTACGTTCCCAAACAAGTCTTGCGTCGACATGCGCGTGTTCCAGCCCGACGTGGTGTTCTCGTTCAACGGCGTCGGCTACTGGGCGGACCTCCTGCGTGGCGTCGCGTACTGCCTCTTGGACACCCTGTTCAACAACGACGGTGATGACGACCCTGTGGTGGAGTTTGGCTTCTTTCCGTTGCCCCCAGAGTTGCCCGGAGCAGATCAGCGACGCGGCAACTCCCGGGTGGCGCACCTGGAAGCCTACCGCACCATGCGCGTCGTCCAGGACTCCATCATCAAGTTGGTCTCCATCGACGGCTTCCTCGAGCACGTCGACCTCAAGGACCGCACTCTGATGGTGTGGAGACTGTCGGACCCTGACATGGGGTGGGAGAAAGAGTATGAGCTCCGCCTCGAGGCCCTCCGGGGACTCCATGGATTCCGCGACCTCCCGAAGGACTTAACCCTCATGTACCCTCTTTTGAGTACAGACGATCATGACATTGTCTACGTCGCGCTCGGCGAGTGCCGCGAGAGCCGGAGAATATGGAAGTTCATCCCAAAATGTGCACACTATTTGCTCGCGATCAACATGCGGAACAACACCATCCGGACCTCCACATGTCTTGCGGACTATTTTGGCAGCCTTGACATCAACCGCGTCATCTCTTGTGATTTCAGCCGGTATATTTGCGTCGTGGGCCTTGATCTCTATATAATGATGACAGAGACGATGAGACAGATGTCCTTGACATCTTTGGACCCCTCTGACTATGACGAAGCGGAGGCTACAAAGACGATGAAGGAGGGGCCAAGGAGCTGGCGAGAGACCCTGAAGGATGAAGACAGATTTCCCCTTCCACTTCCAGCTCATTACTATTTGCAGCCATCTCTGGCAAGATTAGCCCAACAAGTTCTTCCTGACTTGGTTTGAACTTGTATGCATGCATGATGATCATCATGATGAGGATTCAGCACCAGTTATTATCTGGAACTGGAATTATTGTATCCATTCCCCCTCAATCTTTTGAGAAATGAATTGGATTTATTTTACACATTCACCTTAATGTTTGAGAAATTTGTATGCTTTAGTAGTTTTTGCCCCAATATTTTTTTACGTTTTATTCAATGCACAGTCTTTGATATTGTTACTCTCATGCTAGGAATATTATCTTCATAAGGAACTTCAATTTTTTTTTGTGGGTAAAACTTCTATGTTTTATCCATTCCCACGAAATGTTATCTTCATAAGGAAGGTTATTATGACATCAATTAGCATTATTTTCACCTAGAGTTAGGTGTTTTCCAATGAATGCTCAAAATACCCTTCTTCTTTGGGAACTTGGCAAGGCAAAAAGGATGTGGGTGCGTGATAAATTTATGAAAATCCTACCACTATTATGTAGAAACAATGGATAAAGGGGGTGCAAAAGTGGACTCATCATCCCGCTCTTACTCCAAGAGCAGTTGTGGGCGGCGGGGAAGTGAAGATTGTGCGCGACAGAGAGGGAGCTGGTGGTTGTGGGCGGCGGGGAGGGAGTTGGAGGTTGTGGGCGGTGGTGATAGAGGTGGAGGCTATGAGAGGCAGGGATATGAGCTTTCCAATAAGATGACAACCTTTTTGTAGGCGCGGGCGGAGGAAAAAATGAGTGAGAAAACGTGGCTAAAATGGCCCCATGTATAGGGGTGGAAACGGATCGGATGCGGATTGGATAGTGCTCTTGCCACTTCCATTTTCATATTTTCAAAACGAATACGAATCCGAATACGGATGTTATCGGATACGGATGTGGCTCGGATATTATTCGAATACGGATACATATCGGATATTTTCTTGATTCGGAATGGAGACGAATAATATCAACATATTGCTTAAGTAAATTAGTCGATAGCTATGTGACCTGAAATAATCAACTTGTGACATACAATAAGTCAATGATAAATAGGTTTATGAATAAATACTATTGTAATGCATAATAATTTATATGTTTAATCATATAAAGAGTAAAATTTGACCACTTATTTGGCTTTTATGTTGGATAATTGGAATGTTGGGTCTAGAAT